TTACCACCCATAGTAACCATAGATTGCAATAGTACTCACTATTTCGCACTCTATCATTGATACGCGTAGTATAGATAGTATCTTGGAATGTTGGTACTCAGTAACCCGTTCTGTAACTTATGTATAATTTATTTCAATATTGTAGTCATTGCACCGAGTAGAGCGTTATTTTTCTAAAATTTGATATTATCACTTGTTATGGCTATTTATTATTTATTACGCAATAAACAGTGATCTCATTCATAACGACAAGAATACCTCATTATTAATTACATAATATAACTGGCGAAATCGTCAATAATTTATTCACTTGTTTCGCCTTCTAAAACAACTACCTTGAATATGACCGAAAGGTCCTACTTTAAAGTGCTAATATATCATAAAGTATACCTAAAGGAATTAAATGTCAAACAGTGGCTCTTTCTATTTGGCTTATAAACATAATTTGATTTGGTTACTCTGGCCTCTTTTGAATATTACCGGTTGTTTTTATTAATTTGTCAATCCGTCCCTTAACCTAGACTTCCATATTGAATTTACTCTGATTTGTTGCAAGAAAAGTTTTATTACAGTAGTTAGGATAACTATCGCTGTTTTACTCTGTGACAGAGCGATACTCTGCCAAGTATAACTATTCAAATTGCACGGTATCTAGTGATTAAGACCAATATACGTGTATAAGTATATATATTGGTGTTGTTCTATTTTAATTATTTAAAGTTAGTCACCATAACTAAAATTGAATCGTGACCTTAAATTTTTGACTAATATAAAATATTGAAAAGTAGTCGCAAAACAGATCAGAATGTGCTCAGGATCTAGTTCTGCCATTAAAAAAAAGAATAAATAATTTATGCCGTTTTGTGATAAAAGGATACCTATAAATCAAAATATTTTATAACTATATCTAATGCATTGCCTTACTTAAATTATATCAATATGCTGCTAATTGAATTATAGTAATGCGAAAGTTAGAATTAAAATTAAGGTATTATGGGGTAATAGCATAATAACCATCGATAAACGATCGAGCTGTAATCGAGAGCTATTTTTTTCCATTGGCAATACTATGGGGCGTGTATTATTAATTAACAACGCCAAATTTTGGCTCTATGATGCAGATATCAGCAATAAACGTGCGAGCACTTCAATTTTGTTTACTAACTAAAGTATTAGTATGTGTATCTTAGAATTAATGATAATGTATACGTAGTTTGTGGAAGCCGCTGTATAAATGTTGTTATCACGGTGTTACTGAATTTGAAAAGTAGAATTGAGCCAAGATTTACCCTATGTAACTAGTAGTTAAGCAAAATGGACTAACTGCTATCCTATTGATTACTCCCTGTTTGTGTTAAAGACTTCGAAATAGTTTCTCTTTGGTATCTTAGTATCACTAATCAACAGAATTCAACTAGTATATTTCTTTGGAAAATCAGTTTAACTAAATTATCAATATCATTCACGTTTGTATGCAAAGCTAATGTAAAATATTGCTCTTATACGGCTTTATTTACCAAATTGAAGATATAGTCAATTTGGATCAGTACGAGATACTATCAGTACGCATGATAAGTATAAGCATAGCTTATAGCAATGCATGGGAAATAAACTCCCTCGATATGATAAATCGTTTTATTTTACTGAATCAAAGTTTTAACCTGGATTTATGCGAGTATCAATGTATCCTATAGCTTTTGTGGCGAAAATAAGTACAACTTATAGTAGAATAGAAGAAATAAGTAGGCAAGCGATCATACCTCTTACGGGTACTTTACTAAATCGAAATTTAAGAGAAGTGTACAGTACAGTATATCAAAGTCTATTACATCTAACATGATGAACATGAGGCTGATTTACTATACAAGAGCAAAAATTGATTCGTAATTTATACTATACAGTGTTGTATCACTTTATTTCACTAAATCAATATTCATAACAGGTTTGCAGCATTGCCTACTATAGCCAAGATGATGATAAATATACAATAGTAAGCTTAGCTTATCTATACCAGGAACTTAAAGTTTTTGTACTATGGCATTGGATAACTAAAGTCTCCGCCTTGAGGCAGCTTTCTTCCGTAAAATCATACTAATGTGCAGTGCTATCGAGATATTGGGTGGTATTGATTTCAAGTATTAAGATTAACGTATGAACCTGATTACAATACCTCATTCTAATAATAATTAATTATAATTGAATAGTAATTACCCAGTGTAACAAATCGAAGACAGAAGTTCGAATTTGCATTGGTAAACTGTTTTATCACAAGTAGGAGGAAATATCTGTATACTACAGAGATTGCAGTCTCCACTATCCTATAATTTAAGCCTACATTATACGAATACTACAAGTTCTTATTGAAAACAAATGTTCAGAAAGATCCTCAGTCGAGTATATAAAAACTTACTATCATTTGCATATAATGGATGCAAACAGTATAGATTCAAAGTGCGATTTACAACATTTGATGGTAATTTCTTGTAAAGATGATACCGATCTTTCAATAAGAATAAATTGGATTCTATATATATGCTCTGTGAGGCGATTAAATGAATCATACAATACTGATAATGTATGAGTAAAAGAACAGATATTCTAGTAAAAATTATTAAGGATTGTGTTAACTTTCATAGCAGCACAAGCCCTTTACTTATGATTAAAAATGTCTATTGGGATAAAGTACGCATTCACTACACAGGCAAACTGAAAGATGGCATCGCGTTCGATTTCAGTACACTAAGTGATTTGAACCTTTAGGATTTACACTTGGGAAAGAAATGGTGATAACAGGTACGGGAATCTCGTTGTTATCGATTAACGTAATCGTAACGCTTTTACTTTAACTTTCTTCTGCTATAAAACTGTTGTCGAGTTCAGTTTAACCAAGATTTTCATAAGATCCGATACAATTTTTTTATATAGATATAACCTATATTATAGGATGGGAGATAGGCCTCTTAGATATGTGTGTCGAGTAAGTATTGCGGAAATTTAGGTATTCTAATTGATGCTTTAATGATATAAAATATATGTATTATTATATGCTATCAAAAATCATTCAAAATTTTTCCTAACATTATAGTGAGAAGTGTTAGGTAATAATTCCACCTTATCTTGTGTATGGAGAAAGGAGATATTCACCAATTATTCATATACGAGAAATAAATTTCTTACCGTAGGAAAATATTTCCTTATTTTCGAACACTGTGGCAGTTAAAATAGGAGTTCTAGAAAAAATTACACCAGACTAATTATTGTTGCACTTAATTTATTATTCCCAAAGCAAGCGCTGTTTTGATTAATATTCGAAACTCAGTTGATCGGTATCGTTAGTCAAGCTACTCTATCTAAACATAGTATTGGATTGCGGAAGCAGTCTTTGGCTTTATGTTTACGGCTCGTAATAAGCTGGCAAGGAAGTTTATTGATTACAGATTTTACTTTATTGAGGTAGCTAGTGTACCTAAAATTGGATATGCTATAATTGCATTGAATGAATAAAATTCACTGTGCGAATGAAGAACGAGGAAAAGCAGAAGCTAACAATAAGAAGGGAGGCAGATTTAATCATAAGAAGCGTGAAATATAGAGAATGATAAAGAACTTCGACAAAAGGTCCTTTAATTTTTAAAATTTTCCTTTAAAACGAAGCAATGCTTAGGAACAGAATAAAATTGAATTATCATTTCGAATTAAATATGAGTCTACTCATTTTTTAGATTTTGATATGATCAATACACTTCATAAGCAATGAAATACATCTTGCATGCATCTATGTGTGAAAATAAAGCACTTCTAGGACACTGTCTGCGAGATTTACACTTTGATCTCATATAAGGCTTTACTGCAATCGTATTAAAAGGTTATAAAGCGATAACAGGATATTATGAGAGTTACAAATCACAGAATATGATATTATGAGAAGTAAAAAAATTAATAGTTATCATAATGAAGTTAGGATCAATTAAAACTAGAGGCTTCCATTTGAAGTAAAAATAAATACAAATTATGATAATTACATTATGCGTACATGCAAAGATTGTGTTAAGGCTAGCGCGGAGTTGATGTTAAGTCTTTTGAGTAGAATTTTTAAAAATTAGATCTTGGTATGATTTTCTGTATAAGTCGGCTTATCGTTTGGATATCAAATTTTTACTGTATATATATATTTGAATTGATGTATGCAAAGCTACAGTATTAGTACTCAGACCAAAGAATGGTAATTCACTCATAAATACGTATTACCGATAGAATATAGATTAATCCTGGTATCATCACTGCAGCTTATAGCATCTGTACCATTACATATCATATTATTATGCGATCAAGTTCTACATACTTCCATCAAGTAATACTATCGATTTAATAGCACTTTCCAACTCTTTCATTATTTTTGAATTACGATGTTGGTGACTCAAATCTGGTGTAGTTATTAGCAATAAGCTATTTTAAATTCGTAATCGATGAACTATGAATGCAACATTTCCAACGCTGAATGGGACATGGAAAGGACGTAGGACAGTGGTAGGAAAAAAAAGGACGTGAAAATATTTGGCCTGTAATTAATTAGATTTTAATCATTTGCACAAGTTACACCGTAGTTGGTTCGTTCAGTCCAGTATCACTAGTCTCCACATTTAAGAAGTCGCATTGTATTATAGACTTAAAGCATAACTCATACTACCGAATAGTGCAGTCAGTTACGTCGATAGATCCAAATTTCTCAGATTTTAGTTGCCGTCAATTAGCTTAACATATGGAATATAAAAATCCAGGATGATTATATTTATGCAAACATAATTTATTTACTATATCAGCGCCCTTAGTAATATTTGATATAAAGTAATACTGTACAAATACATTATCTGACATAGTTTATCTTATATAAACATATAAGGAGTATAAAACAAGTCACAAACAAGATAGTATTATTTTCTAAATTGGGACGCTACATTGAGTCAAATTTATGATTGACATTCATGTCCTTAACTTTTAGCTTAAGATTCAATAAGTCTTGCTTCAGTGATAGATGACCATGGTGTTTGAACCTAATGAATAAAAATATCATAATTATTTCACTAGTACCCTCTTTGAATACGTTGTGCTTATATATTATAATTCTGGTATATTCAGATAAGTCAGATATATTTGATAGCTGCTAAAGCTAAGCGTACTATAGGATCAATTTCTTTTACGTAATTTTCTTCCTCTCCCTCAAATAGTTCAAATTTTCCAGGTTCAGTCCATTCCTTTCGTTCTGATTATATCCATCAAAATGCAAAGTTTAATATCATGTTGTAAACTTACCCAAGAAATCTCTAGAATTTAATTCAATTTATATATACCTTTCTCTAATTGTCTATCAGTAAGTTTGATAATAATTTGATCTGTAGCATTGTTATATGATTCAACAACGCCTTCCTATGAATAAATGAATAAGTTTGTATAAACAGTAACATCGACAATAACAGCTAAGTCTAGGGATAGATCTGACTAAATATAGTGATTTTCTAACCTTAAATTTTGATATTTCTGGAGTATAAGATGATGACAATTCTAAAACCTGTAAAGCACAATAAATAGAAACACAGCTGTAGTCAACAATCGATATACTAAAAAATTAGTAATTTTGGTTATTTTACCCTAAAGACGATCTTATCTCCACTACGAGGAGGAGCATTTAAAATTTTAAGATTTTTGTACCAGTTACTTTCGCTAAGATTATTCTTCGCTATGCTTTTCGTCATAACCTGATGAAGGAAACAAATTAAATACATAGTGAAAGATTTCAGTTAGTAATTAGTTCAAATAACAGATATTAGCAACAGTAATTTTAATTACGCGAAATAATACAAGGCGACATTTGTAACAAATTAAAGTACTTTGACTGATTTTCGGCCTTTATCAATGTCTGAACAGGTAGACAATTCGGAAGGATTTGAATTATTAAGAGTATTGGGTTGAACTTGTATATTTTCATCTGGATGATAAACAAAATAATTTTATAATTGTATACTCTTGCATGTATTAAGGTTAAATAGCAAAGAAATATTTTACCTTCCGAGTCGAAGCGGATATGCTGTCCTTTGGTACTTGCTACGCTATTTTGTGACAAATCTGATTCGAATAAATGAGATTTGAGATATTATTATAGATTTAGAAAATTCATACGACCACTTAGAGCAAGGTAATACACAGTTTAAGCTAGTTGTTAAGTTATCAACAATATTCAATGCATGATTCATGTTCACTCTAGTTAGAAGAAGGTTTCATGGACTCAACAGGACTGACACGTAATCATTCTAGTATAGCGCTACGGCATACTGATCAAAGATTAGAATTGAAGACTATAAATATTATATTGCATTAATAACACAAACTTTACATTCTATCACACTATTTTAACTATGCATGGAACGGGTATACTACTGATCAAGTATTACTTCTGGGGAAAGAAGTGATACCCGTTCTAAATAATAAATTTAGAGTATATCAGTGATTTCTTAAGGATTTTATCTTTTAAAACGTAGCATTACTGAAATTTCTGTTGTTTTAAATGGTGAAACGCTATTCTATATTTAAGTAATACATAATCATCAGGATACCTACCAAATTTTTTCTTTTTAGTGGAAGTTTCATTAGAACGATTAAAGCTTGCTCGCTTACTGCCTTGCGATAATTGAGAATCTGATAGAAGTGGATGATTTTGTATAGCAATATTACTACTTGTATTCTTGGATATTTCCTCAATTCCTTGTAGCCCACTCTTTTTACCATCTTTAGAAGGTGTTAAAACATGATTGTTGGAGACTTGTGTTGCACTTTTGTCAATATCCATGCTTTCGTCTTTGTCACCCTTCAAGTGATATGAAGGAACATTACTATCTACTCGTTCATCCTGATCGGCAACACTATCGCCATCTGATGTACTACTATCACTAGAGCTATCGTCTGATTCGGTCGAACTGGTACTGCTACTGGTGTCCACTGATGATGAGGAAGACTGTTCTTCGTTGGTTGTATTTTTAATATCTACATTTGATTTAGAGCACGATTGTTTTTCATTTGAGGTATCTTCAGAGGCTTCACTTGATTTAAGATGTCCTTCTTTCGATGTAAGATTATTAGTTTTATTCCTCTTTACACGTGTACCTGCAAGTATAGAATGACGCTATTAAGATCAATTCCGGATAGTGAATAAAAATTTACTTTTAATAAAGTTGATAAAATACGCTACTATACTGAAATATAGTAGTTGATTATTGTATAGCTGGAAGTTATCTGTGAGCGTTGCAGGTATGATATAGTCGTAAAGATCATAGACTACGAATATATGCAAATATCGAAATAGATAATGATAATGCATATGTGCTTTCATCATGTTCTACCATGTTCTACAGCACACCATCTCAACATCACATAGCAATTTGAGTAGAAGTTTACGATGGCTTATATATATCGTACATTGAAGTAATAATATAATGATTACGAATAGGAATGTTAACGTGACGAGTATATGCAAACTTCTAGATAGATAATAATAATGAATACAGCACTTCTATCGTGCTATAAACCATTTTAATATCATAGGGCAATGCATGTTATGTTGGCTTATACTTGCATACGTGTATGCTGTATATATCGCAAATCGACATTATCATATTACGAACGGAAATCCGGAATAAATGTGACGAGTATATGCAAATTTCTAGATAGATAGTAACAACATATACATTCCTATCATGTTATCCACCATCTTAATATCATATAGCAATGTGAGTAGACGTTACGATGGCGTATCGTACATTTGAAGTAATTTTATACGAAAAATGTTAAGGTGGCGAGTATCTGCAGACTTTCAGATAATGACAAGGTGTATGTTTGTCATGTTGTACACCATCTTTATATCATATAGCAATGTATGTAGACAGTAGCCTCTAGATATCGCATATTGGAGTATTATTGTAATCATTACGAATGGAAATAGTTATGTAGTAAAATTTTTGATTATAGTAAAGGATAACGCAAAGCCGCGATTGAAATGATCTTAAAACGCGTTACCTGCATGGCTATAGGCCATTTGTAAATCTTTATTTGTAGAGTCGTCCTGTTCTACGCTGTGTATAAGCAGATTTGAAGGTGCATTATTCATGTTAGCTTAGCTTAGCTAAATGGGTTCATTAAGGAAAAAATTTTACGTCTCTATATACCGCAATTAATTCAGAATAACTTACACAATAATATCATTATCACGGATGATTTCAATGGGTTCATCATGTTGGATCAAGTAATCGTCGAGGTAGAGGTGATAGCTCGATTTACGATTTAACGCGAATCGTTTTTGTATTAAATAGATTAAATCAGCTACCAGTCGGCAAGAATTGCTATCAAAAATGAACCAGCAACGTCGCCAAGCTGATGTAAAGTCTTTACAAGCTACATTAGCAAACTTTAATTTGATTCGTACGCAGCTGCTGCGGCCAGTCTTGGAGGCCATTTTTGCAGATTTTCAGTTGAAAGTCATCGCGCATGGGCAGGCAGTCTTGCAATAAGATTGGTTCTGTACGGCAAGAATAGGCAAGACGTCGCCTTTACACTTTGTACTGTTTAGTATAGCTTTGAAAGTTCTGTTTAGAACACTATACTAGTAAGGTTATCAATTCATCGGAAGCTTACTCACAATATTACTATTAATTAATTAATTAATCTACTTGCTTTAAATTAAATATCCTTTGTTCAGACTTAATACTTATAAATTTTAAATTTTACTTACTACACATCTTTCAAAAGGTGTCAAAAATTTCTTATGTTTCTTCATTATAATCTTATTTCACTACGCCAAACTTTATCCAAATAAAATATATACTGGTAATAAAATAATACTAATTTAAGCATTGGCCAATCTAGAATTAAGCTACACAATTAATTGAAGGGGATGAGTGATTCGTTCATCGAACGGTGGTATAGTTAGTTCAATTTTATTATCATACACTTAAAATACTTTAATAAGCATATACGTAAACATAATTGCAAAATTGTTGCGTTGAAAGAGCAATCCGAACTAACTGTAAATACAATCAAGGGATATACAGCAGTCACATTGCCCTATAGTTGCATCGTGTCTACAGGTGCATATCAAGTGACAATATTCAAAATTCGAATACACCAGCTCAATCAACTTTTAATATGATGGAATGCAACGAATCAGTAAAGTTATACTTATACAGTATATGAGGATGCACTAACAGTAAATAGACTATGATAGTACATCACATGTACCAAAAATTACCGTATTACTGTAATTTGAAGTAGTACATAAATGCTAGGTAGATTTAACAAGCTGGCTAAAATAATTGCAGTAAGGGGTGAGGAATCTCAATCAGCTACTGTTTTATCATAGTGTACTGCAAAGATTCAGAAAATAGTGACCGAATGCTATGATTTACAAATAAATTATATAATTATATTATTACAGTTTAATAGGACGTAAGAAGACCGGTCATCTTACATCATTTAAATTGTTTATGGAATAAGGACTGAATGCCAACATATATAACTGAATTAATCTGACACCACGTAATTAATACTCTGCTATCTTAGTATAACCCTACTATAGTATCTGCTTAAGAAAGATGATGTAATGTGGTGGGTGATGCACCATATACTAGCGTAAAGGTGAATACTATTTTATAGTTTAGCAATAACCAGCATTGAAAATTTCATTGCTTCAGCGATACAAGGTCTCATGTTACACGTACATACACGCATATATTACGTTCATCGTATTGACTTCATTCTACTTCTATTACTAACTCAGATGAAACAATTAAGGAATGCAGAAATATAACCAATTTTAAATAAACAGATAATAATCCAATTAATAAAATGCACACTAGTTTCATCAATTTGCAAATGTATGAATATAATTTCTTCTACCTAACATCCGAACTTAAAGTGAAATAGAGTTTTATTATTTTCAATTAATGATATAAACGTACAGCATTCATATGTTAAAAATCGTATATACTGTGAATAAAAGAATTCAACAAATGCACATCAATCTTTTGCGCAAGTTGTAATTTATAATTATTAGAATAGCTAATCCTACATTTTATCAAATATTTAAAAATAAAATAAAGTCTAAAACATTTTAGGATTTTATGCAATTTCCAGTGTCATTTTTGAATTATACATCCAATAGTTTACGTCAATGTTAGCGTAAAATAAACTAATCGCTGCGATTTTGCATTTTTGTCAACCTCTGACGTTTACCCTGATATAATAATAATGTTTAAACTGACTATAAAATCGTGATTTCTTAATTTACCTATCAATATATAGTAGAGGAAACAAAAAGTTCATAAATATATCAGTCATACCGCTAACACGTTCTATCACTAGATGATATTTTATGATCTATTACACTAAATTTTTCATCCAAATGATTTCTTTAATGTAGTATTTCAACTGCTATTATCGTCATCGAATGATTGTTGCACTTGCATTTTCAATTCATAAGTAGGTTCTGTAGATTCGACAGTTCCTGATATAAATAAAATTAGAAGAGGCGTGCAGTCGTTTTAGATAATTCTGTAGCAAGCCGATAATTACTAATTTTACTCTAGTTATTAAATAGCGTACGCATACGCGAAAGTGTGCACAAGTCTATACTATTACCTTTCGATAAATTAAGTGTTCTACCAGGGATTGCAGTTTTTGTTGGCGGTGACCACCAGTTCATTACGGTTGAGATGAGAGGCACTTGACGATAAACACCCTACAATATATGTGTAATGTTTTAGTTGTGGTTTGACAGTAACAAAATTCAAGAAATAAAGGTCGTAATAGTAGAGCTCATAAGATCTTTAGTATTTACTTCTTCCCAAAAATAATCTTCCGCTTCTTGTTTTAGCGTTTCTTGTGTTGCAGCTATGCTCTTTTTTATTAATTCACTCATCTCTTCTAATAACTGTTCAGGAAAAAAGGTACCATGTAGCCATTAGCATAGAGAGAAAAGCATCAATACTACTAATTAATATAATAAATCGTAACTAACTTGGCTATTATCATCTAATTCGGATGCCTTTTGAATAATAGTATCAATAATATTAGGTATCTTTTCAGGTTGTGAAATCTATTGCACGATTACAATCAAATAGTAAGCGTATATCATTAGTTCTTGCATATTTATTGTTTAAGTAAAGTCAAAAACTTAAAATAAGGTTATCTTCATGAATGATAAAGGCTAACAGATTAAAATGTGTGAGTACGAACCATTCCAACAGCTACACATGGATAGTCATCCGTTGTCGTTACTAAGGCAAATAAGGCTTTATCTTGCTCTTCTAAAGTTTCAGCCAATAGCCTATTTACCTTCTTTAAAGCACTTCTTTTCCGGTCGGTGAGTTTTACGGTATCTATATCATCATGAACCAAATATTCTGGCACAAATCTTTTATGTAATGGAAAGAAGTAAAAGTTAAACATTTTCAAATAATCGAAGATTTTGTTATTTAAAACAGAAATTCATTTGTTTCTTACTGAACTGCGCCTAGACCGGTAACTTGATGAACCTCAGCTAATTTAAGTCTCTTATTTGATTTTATGGCTGTTTCGAATTCAGATTTGCTATTAATTGTAACATTCATGACCGTCTATGCGATGCAAAGTAGAATCAGTTTGTAAAGGGTTAACTGTATATGGAATAGATATCACTATTGGATAATTATATACCATTTTAGGCGAATACGAAATATAATAAGTTTTAAAATAGCAATAAGGGGCTTACAATTTCATCCCGTAAGCATGAAATAAATTCATCCACATCATCTTGAGTTGTTTTGTATTCTAAAAATAAAGTAGGTTAGTTTTTAAATGAAACTGCAGCCAGAACTTTATAGTGGTCAGTATGTGAATAATATATATATATATACATACTGATTGCAGTCTTTATGGGATCAAACTTTAACCAATACCCGTCCTTTGAAAGCTCGATCAGTTCAATATGCATGCTCCTCACGCTTTGACTCAAGTGGTATAAAAGCTACAACGATAATAAAAATTTAGCTTAAAAAGACTAGAATCAGTCGCTCTTTGACTGATGATTATGGATATAATTTAATTTACAGCAGCACTTATCTATATTATAATTACCAGTTTATTATATGAGTCCAAAACTAAGTTTGACACTGTAGTAACAATGCCAGAGTTGGTTTCCTCAACAGCTGAAAAGTTAAGTGTATTATATTTAGGCTTGCAAAAATTATTTTTAGAATTACGGTTTATATCTTGGTGATATAACTTACAATCCTTTTTAACTGTACTTGATAAATCATCTGGAGGTGTAGATAGGTTATGATTGGATTCATTACTTTTACTGTTAGGTTTATATCTAAATACCACAACTGGGTTGACGGAATTTTCTTGTTGCTTTTATATTCAATATTAACAGAAAGTGTAATGTGATAGTCAGACACTGAAAAAAATTACTTGTAATGGTACTGTATAATAATTACCAATCTTGTTACATCTTTCATAAGATCTAGGCGGTGAATTAATTGTTGAGCCTACAGATAACGCATTAGCAATTTAATAGTTTGATTATCTTGAAAACTGAATATCAAAATGTATACACATAATCAAATGACGTACCAATTCTGTTCCGAAATTTACCATTTTTGCCATTGCATCTTGTCCTACAAGAAGTAATATAGTAACTTAATGACGAAATTTGAAAGGTAGATTCATAAAGACTCTAATTTGTTAAATTACCTAAATACTGCATTGAAATCCAAAGAGAAAGGCCATGTAATTTCATTAGAGTTTCAGAGTTGGTCATTCCTGCTATATTACACTGTGTATAATAAAATGTTTTAGAACAAGGATAACCAAGAATTGAAATAACAAGGTGTAGAGAAATGATAGTTTTTTTAATTTTAAGACGACATAATTTCACTTAAATTCATACGGATGTAAATTAATTAATAAAGTTTGCCCGAAATCTAGTTTTACTTACAGCATCTGAGTCCGAACTTCTATATAATGTCTGATTAATTATTTAGGGTAAGAGTTAAAGAATAATTTTTTTGACTGTGTAGTTAATTATCAGCGACAAAACTTTTATAGCGCTAACTAATTAAAAGAGCAATGCATGTAACGCAGTAAAAGGATACACAGTAGCTCACTCCAGGCCAGTTAAACCAGTCGCTTAGACGTAGGGTGATACTAGTAGCTTTTCTACATGCCTATAAGATTAAATATTAAAATCAAATATAATATTTTTACGTAATGGGCACTTTGCGATAATTATGCGCCTTCACTTCCGGATTACAAGTCTTTACCTCATAGGATGCCGGCGGTTTTTCAAGAGCTAACAGTGCAAGTCCGTTACTAAAGAGAATATAGTCGGTGTTAAATGGCTATTGAAGTATATCATTAAGGCTTATCTTTGGATCGTCAATCTACCGAAATATGATTTAATAATCGTAACTAACCCTTCCAAATGAAGCCACAAGTTGTATTTGTCACATAGTTCTCGAAGGTATGAAGTATTATCATTTTGACCGCACATTGGGGTACCTGTAGGAAAGAAACGATTATTCCAATAGTTCCTACTGCAAATAGGTTCATG